CGGGCGCCAGCCACGCAGCTCCCCGCCCGGGTGGGGGCGTACCAAAGGGACACCCGAGGAAGGGGCCACCGGGAAGGAAAACCTCCGCGAGAAGGGTGGAAACGGGAGGAAGGCCAGAGAGCAAGTGCGAGAAATGTCGCAGAAGCCCACAGGCTCCCTCCAGAGAGACTGGCGAGAACTGCCCTAGAAACTTGTCGCGGGCATTTTTGGGCTGTGCGTCCCCCACCCGCGCCAATAGCATAGCCCAACCGTGCCCGGGTTCCGGGTGAGGACTCGGCAACCGCTTGGAGCTGCAGGGCTGCCGCTGTAGGACTCGTCCACTGGGGTTGGAAGTGGTGTTTTGGGCTCCGCTCTTCTGTGCACCCCGATCATGCTTACTGTCTGCACCTTTTTCGTGGACCCTGGCTTTTAGTGACTCCTTAATGTATAGGATGCTGGAGCTGAAGAGTTGCTCAGTAGAGAGCATCTCGGTTCACTTCTACCCAAGTTTTAGAGGTGAGAACATCTGGCCGGAGGTAGCATGACACATGGAGCCAGGAACTTTGGGTTCAAATCCTGACTGTCCGTACCCTCGCGTAAGCCATAGCCGCGCTTTCAGGGGACTAAGCTTACCCCTCTGCTAAAGAGGATCATCCTACCTATCTCACCGGTTGGATCAGAAGCTCAAGGGGCAAAATGTGGGAAAACATGGGCCCAGTGCTCACTGAGCACACAGGACAGATGCTACTTGAAACGGAATCTATTTAATTCGACTGTGGTTTCCTTAAGGCAGAGACTATGTTGTTTGTATCACCAACCACAAAAGTTTGTGGCACAAAACCTTCGCATATACAGTCAAATTCTTTTTTTTCTTTTTTCTTTTTTTTTTTTTTTTTGAGACGGGGTCTTGGTCTGTAGCCAGGCTGGAGTGCAGTGGCGCCATCTTGGCTCACTGCAACCTCCACCTCACGGGTTCAGGCGTTTCTCCTGCCTCAGCCTCCCGAGTTGCTAGGACTACAGGCGCACGCCACCACGCCCAGTTAATTTTTGTGTTTTTAGTAGAGACGGGGTTTCACCATGTTGGCCAGGATGGTCTCGATCTCTTGATCTCGTGGTCTGCCCGCCTCTGCCCCCCAAAGTGCTGAACCACCGCACCCAGCTGATTTTTTTTTTTTTTTTTTTTTTAAGACAGAGCCTTGCTCCGTCATCGCGCAGGCTGGAGTTCAGTGGCACAATCAAAGCTCACTGCAGCCTGGACGTCTTGGGCTCAAGAGATCCTTCTGCATCAGCCTCCTGGGTAGTTGAGACAGCCGGTAGTCACACGCCACCCACCATGCCCAGCTAACTTTTGCACTGTGTGTAAGAGACGGGGTTTTGCCATTTGCCATGTTGCCCAGGTATGTCTCAAACTCCTGGCCTCAAGCAGTCCTCCCGCCTCAGCCTCCCAAAGTGCTGGGATTACAGGCGTGAGCCACCATGCCCTGACTAGTCAAATGATTTTTGACAAGGGTGCTGTGGCCATTCAGTAGAGAAAAGTATATTTTCTGTGCATCAAAGGACACAAAAGGCTGGGCATGGTGTCTCAAGCCTGTAATCCTAGCACTTTGGGAAGCCGAGGCGGGTGGATCACCTGAGGTCAGTAGTTTGAGACCAGCCTGGCCAACATGGTGAAACCCCATCTCTGCTGAAAGTACAAAATCAGCCAGGCATGGTGCCGGGCACCTATATTCCCAGCAACTCGGGAGGCTAAGGCAGGAGAATCACTTGAACCCCCAGAGTGGAGGTTGCAGTGAGATGAGATTGCACCACTTTACTCCAGCCTGGGCAAAAGAGCAAAACTCCGTCTCAAACCCCCACCCCCCAAAAAACAAAACAAAACAAAAAAGAACAGTGAAAAGGCAACCAACAGAATGAGAGGAAATAGCAAATCATATATCTGATAAGGGGTTAATATCTATAATATATAAAGAACTCCTGCAACTCAACCACAATAAACAAGCAACTCAATTAAAAGGGCAAAGGACTTGAGTAGACGTTTCTCCAAAGAAATATATACTATACTGTAGAAATGACCAACAAGCAAATTAAAAAATGCTTAACAAAACTAACCACTAGGTAAATGAAATCAAAGCCAAAATGAGATACCACCTTATACCCATTAGGATGTCAGCTATCAAAAATCACTAACAAGTGTTGGTGAGGATGTGGAGAAATCAGAATACTTGTGCACCGTTGGTGGGAATATAAAATAGTGCAGCTGGCCTGGCGCGGTGGCTCCCGCCTGTAATCCCAGCATTTGGGAAGCTGAGGCAGGCGGATCACCTGAGGTCAGAAGTTTGAATCCACCCTGGCCAACATGGAGAAACCCCGTCTCTTCTAAAAATACAAAAATTAGCCTGGTGCAGTGACAGGTGCCTGTAATTCCAGCTACTTTGGAGGCTGAGGCAGGAGAATCACTTGAACCTGGGAGGCAGAGGTTGCAGTGAGCCGAGATCGCACCATTGCACTCCAGCCTGGGCGACAGAGCAAGACTCTGTCTCAAAAGAAAATAAAATAGTGCAGCTGCTATGGAAAACAGTACGGCAATTTGTATTTTTTAAAAAAAAGTAAAAAATAGGCCAGTGTGGTGGTTCACACTGGTAATCCTAGCACTTTGGGAGGCCTAGGCGGGCAGATTGCTTGAGCTCTAGAGTTCAAGACCAGCCTGGCCAATATGATAAAATACAAAAGTTAGCCAGGTATGGTGGCACATGCCTGTGGTCCCAGCTACTTCGGAGGCTGAGGCAGGAGGATTGCTTGAGCTGGGGAGGCAAAGGTTGCAGTGAGTGGACATGGTGCCACTGCACTCCACCCAGGCTCTGTCTCTTATACACATCTAGATGTGTATAAGAGACAGGTCTCGCTCTGTTCCCCAGGTTGGAGTACAGTGGTGCCATCTTGGCTCACTGCAACCTCTGCCTCCCAGGTTCAAGCGATTCTTCTGCCTCAGCTTCCCGAGTAGCTGGGACTACAGGCACACACCACCACGCCTGGCTAATTTTTGTATTTTTAGTAGAGATGGGTTTCACCGTGTTGGGCAGGCTGGTCTTGAACTCCTGATCTCATGATCTGCCTTCCTTGGCCTCCCAAAGTGCTGGGATTACAGGCATGAGCCACAGCGCCCGGCCATTCTTTTTTTTTTTTTTTTTTTTTTGAGACGGAGTCTAGCTCTGTTACCCAGGGTGGAGTGCAGTGGCATGATCATGGCTTGCTGCAACCTCCGCCTCCCAGATTCAAGCAATTACCCTGTCTCAGCCTCTCAAGTAGCTGGGACTACGGGCATGCACCCCCAGATCTGGCTAACTTTTTTTTTTTGAGATGGAGTCTCGCTGTGTCACTCAGGTTAGAGTGCAGTGATGCGATCTCAGCTCACTGTAAGCTCTGCCTCCTGGGTTCACGCCATTCCCCTGTCGCAGCCTCCCGAGTAGCTGGGGGACTACTACAGGTAGTCTGAGGCCTGGCTAACTTTTTTTGTCTTTTTAGTACAGATGGAGTTTCACCATGGCCAGGCTGGTCTTGAACTCCTGGCCTCAAATGATCCGCCCATCTCGGCCTCCCAAAGTGCTGGGATTACAGCCCGAGCCACTGTGCCAGGCCAGTCAATAATAATTTAATTGTATATTTTTAAATAACTGAAAGAATATAACTGGATTATCTGTAACACAAAAGATAAATGCTTATTTATTATGATGTGATTATTATGTGTTGCATGCCTGTAGCAAAGTATCTCATGTACCCCATAAATATATATGCCTACTATGTACCCACGAAAATTAAAAACAAGAAATTTAAAAAGTTAAAACAAACAAAAGAAAAAACCCAGTGTGATGCTGACCTAAGGGTAGATAGAGAAACAAATGGAGTAGAATAGAGAACCCAGAAATAAACCCTCACATATATGGTTAACTGATTTTCAACAATTGATTTTCAACTATTTTCCCTTGTTGAAAATAGTTTTTTAGACTATTTGATGGGGAAAGCATTCATATTTTTGACAAATGTTGGTGGGCAATGGGGGAAACATGCAAAATAATGAGGTTAGACCTTTTCTGTACCCCACATAGAACGCTTAGCTCACATACAAAAAATTAACTCAAAATGGATCAAAGATCTAAACTTAAGTGCAAAAACCATAAAAATCCTAGAAGAAAATATAGGGGAAAATCTTCATCATATTGTATTTGGCAATGATTTCTTAGATATGATACCAAAAGCACAAGCAACAAAAGTAAAAATAGATAAATGGGACTTCATCAAAATAAAAAGTTTTGTGCTTCAAAGAATACCAGCCACAAAGTGAAAAGACAGCTCACAGAATGGGAGAAAGTATTTGCAAATCCTACATCTGATAAGGTACTTGTACCTAAAACATATAAATAACTCTTACAATTCAATAAGAAAAAGACAAATAGACCAATTGAAAAATGGGTAAGGGGCCAGGCACGGTGGCTCATGCCTGTAATCCCAGCACTTTGGGAGGCCAAGGCGGGTAGATCACTTGAGGTCAGGAGTTCGAGACCAGCCTGGCCAACATGGCGAAACCCCATCTCTACTAAAAATACAAAAATTAGCCAGGTGTGGTGGCGTGCGTCTATAATCTCAGCTACTCCGGAGGCAGGAAAATCACTTGAACCTGGGAGGCGGAGGTTGCAGTGAGCCAAGATTGCACCACTGCACTCCAGCCTGGATGACAGAATGAGACTCTGAGTCTCCAAAAAAAAAAAAAAAGAATTCTGATACATACTACAACATGGATGAACCTTGAAAACATTGTGCTAAGTGGCCAGACATAAACTATAGTCAAATATCATATGATTCCATGCATATAAAATGTCCAGAACAGGCAAATCTACAGGGAGATTAGGGACTGCCAGGGGCTGGGCACACAGGGGAATAGAGAATCACTGCCTAACGGGTTTGGGGGTTCCCTTTGGGGTGATGAGAATGTTTTGGAGCTAGACCAAGGTGATGCTTGCAAACATTGTGAATGTACTTAATGCCACTGAATTGTACACTGTAAAATGGTTAAATGGTAAATTTTACATTGTGTTTATTCTACTACAATTTCTTTTTAAAAACTGAGCTTATTATTTTTTCTGTTTTTTCCTTTTGAAACAGGGTCTTGTTCTGTTGTCCAAGATGGAGTGCAGTAACACGATCATGACTCACTTCAGCCTCGACCTCCTGGGCCCAAGTGGTTCTCCCACCTCAGACTCCCAAGTAGCTGGGACTACAGGCCAGCACCACCACACCTGGCTAATTGTTTTGAATTTTAGTACAGATGAGGTTTTGCTATGTTGCTCAGGTTGGTCTGGAACTCCTGGGCTCAGGTGATTCACACACCTCAGCCTCCCAAAGTGCTGGGATTACGGGCGTGAGCCACTGTGCCCAGCCTACTTTTTCTTCATTTAACTTCTCTTACTGTGTCTTCATCTCAGGTAACAGCGT